GGCTTTTCTTGCTGTTCTTTCTCTAATTGTTGGAGATGTTCGTTTAAAGTGTTGATTTTGTCTCTTTCTTCTCTTTTGATGTGTGCACTTATTGCTATAAATTGGCCTCTGATCACTGCTTTTGCTGTGTCGCAAGGTATTATTTAAAACCTCCCCTGGGGACCATAGCAAGAGGTGGGCCATGTGGGAATGGAATTTTCACTTATTTTAGCCTTTCTGATCTTACTCTAATATGTGATAATATACTTACTGTGGAAAATCAGAAAAATGCAGACATACGGAAGGAAAGGAGAAGAAATTCGCCACTTGTGAAGAACTGGAGACTTCACGAGCATTTTTTGGGATCTCTCCTGCAAGTCGTCGTTTATGCATTATTAAAAAAAAAATTTCTATTGTAGGAGGGGTCACTAAGAGTCAGGTCTGACTTGATGGCACATAACAACAACAACATTGTAATTTTCAGTATTTTATGATAAATAACTTTATAGAGGTCATTTGCATACTATGACATCCATTCATGTTAATTGCACAGTTTGTGACTTTTAGCAAATTTACAAGTTGTGCAAAAGACATGAGAAGAAAATTCAAACATCCCAAAAAGTTGAAAGCATTCTAGAGTGAACAGCCTCGTACCCACATCTCAATTTCATGATTAAATCTTGCTGTATTTGCTGTATCGGTATCGGGTCTCCATCCCTTCAGGCATCAATCCAGTTAAAAACCTGTGCATCATTTGTTTGATAGTTAGGGTTGTACCATAAATGCTGATTTTTATACCTGGCTGGTGTTTTTGCTGAAAGTGTTGCAGCATTTCCTACATGATGAAAGAGGCTTCTAAACGTAGGGAAGGTGTTTGATGAATCACAGTCTGGCTCATTTTCACTTCAGTCCTGGGTCCCTTGGTCCTGCCCGAGCAGTGTGCGGTCACCCTGGGGTCCACAACTCTTCCCCTTTCCCTCTGCACCCCACCCCAGCTTCTGCAGAAGTCCCCAGCATGCAGGACATGCACACCAGCCCCAGGGATCCCAGGACATCTTGGGGCACTCTGGAGTCCCCCGCCTCAGGTGAGAAGCTGGGTCCCAGCCGCACCTTCCCCAGCTCTTGTATCTGTGCATCTCAGTGGGTGGGTGCCTGGAGAAGGGAGGTCATGGATGGGAGCCCAGTGATGACCGAGGGGAGAATGGTCTGGGAGATGGATGGGAGCTCAGTGTAGAGACCGATGGCATGGGTAAGGAGGGGGACATACTGTGAATCTCCTGGGTTCTCTTTAGATTCCAGAGGCCAGTGGTGGGCACCCCAGGGGCGATCCTCAGCCTGGATTAACCCCAGAAGAGACCAGAGCCCCCACCTGTCAGCCCCAGGCCTGGCCCCATCCCTGCAGCAGTCTCCGCTCCAGCAGCCCCTGTGGTCAGGCTCAGGGCGCCAAGACTGTAGGCACAGCCCCCATGGGTGTTGCCCCGATGGCCACACTGCATCTCTGGGACCTCAGTGGCAAGGCTGCCCTGGGGTCTCGTGTGAGCAGAGCAGGTGAGTGCTGGAGACAGCCTCTCCCTCCTCAGCGGATCATCGAGGGAAGGCAACAGGCAGGCTTGTGGCAGAGCTGGGCAGGGTTAGTTTGTCTGCTCAGAAAGGGCTGGATGGGGTGGGCTCACAGAGCTCAGGAACAGGACAGTAGAGCTTTTGTCTCTGAGGTGCCCTGATTGTATGAACTTAGGCATTCGGCTGCCTCTCTCTGAGCTTCCTGATGAGCCAAGTCAGAGCTACCAGGTCGACTCTGCCTCATGGTGACTCCACGTGGGTCAAGGAAATCTCTGCTGCATAGGGTTTCCAATGGTTGATTTTTCTGGAAGTAGATTACCAGGCCTTCCTTCTGAAGCACCTCTTGGTGGACTTGAACTCCTAGCCTTTCAGTTAGCAGTAAGGGCGTTCACCAGTTGCACTATCAGGGACTCCCTAATGTGCCTGCTGTTGTTAATTGCTGTTGAGTCAATTCCAACTCCTGGTGACCCCACATGTACAGAGTAGAACAGCTCCGTGGGGTTTTCAAGGTTGTAGTCTTTTAGAAGGAGATCACCAGGCCTGACTTCCAAGGCTCCTTGTGTTGAGTTTGAACTGCCAACCTCTCAGGTAGTAATGCAAGACTTAACCCTTTGTGTCACCCAATGTGCCTGCTGGGGCTAAAAATCCCTGCCTTCTCTGGAAGTCTGCCATGGTGATGTGGCTGGAGGAACCAGTGTGAGCCAGCATTGTGGAGGCACGTGTGGGGTATGATTCCAGGTCTCAAATCCAGACCAGGCTCGGGCAGCTGAGCTCAAAGGCTGGACAAAGGCCAGCCTGACTTTCTTCCGTTCCTCAGTCCTGCCCATTCCAGCTGAGAGGGCCTGAACCCCCAAATGCCTGCCTTCCCAAATGCCTGACACATGCCTCCAGGGGTTGTAATGCTCAGAGCCCTGGCTTTGGGGCAGCAGCCGGGGGGTGATCCCCAGCTCAGCCACTTTCCAGCTGTGCTGGGTGACTTGGGGCATGCTATTTAACCTCTCTGATCTTGGCTTCCTCTTCTGTGAGTTGGGAACAGCAGGGTGGAGTTCCTATGAGGATTAAATAAATCACATGGTACCTGGCACATGGACGATGCTTTGGTATTTTCCTTCTCTTACTTCCTTCCCCACACCTAAACCAAACCAAAACCAGACCAAACTCACTGCTGTCAAGTCAATTTGACTCATAGCACCCCCTCCTTGGGTTTCCGAGGTGGTATCTCTAAGGAAATAGATTGCTCAATCTTCCTTCCAAGGAGTGGCTGGTGAGTTTGAACCGCCAGCCTTCTGGTTAGCAGTCAGATGCCTTAGATGCTATGCCACCAGAAATGGAGGGTTCCTCTGAGCCCCTTTTCCTGCTCCACTTCCCATCTGTTACTAGTCTGTAAAAACTCCCTGGGAACTTCTTTGGGCAGGCTCAGGGAGTTTGTCCCTCCCAGCTTTTGTGGTGGGGTGTGTGAGTTGAGGAGTTGTTGGTTATCAGAGGTGCAGGCTGTTTCTGATACCATTGTTGCCTTCCACTGGGATCCTGCCCTGCTCAGTCTCCAGCCCAGAGAGCCTGGGTCCTGGGGTGCTGGAGGCTCAGGGCTGGGCAGTGAGGGCTCAGTGTGATGTCTGCTAGGTACGGGTGCTGCCCCGATGGGGCGTCAGTGGCCAAGGGGCCCCATCAGGCTGGCTGCTCAAGATCGCATGGTGGTGATAACACTGGGAACAGGCCAGTGGCTTCCACAGTAAGTATCTGTGTGTATGTGTGTGTGCATGCGGATGAGGGGTGGGGTATGTGAGCAGGAGTTTAGACCCTGAGCCTGCTTGATGCACAGCAACCCAGGGTCTTCACAGCAACCCAGGGTCTTCACAGCTTCAGCCTCAGAGAAGGGAGGGCCCTGCAAGGCCATCACCTGGCATCTGTTGAGGGCGCAGGGTTTCAGAGGCTGAACTGACCTTGCTTGGGCTGGGGGGTGGGGGGCTTCTGATCTCCCCGAGGCTGAAGGCATGCACTCTGGGGTCACCCCTATCCTCCTTCCTCTTGCCTTCCTCAAGCCAGCCCAGAGCCCCCCACCAAGATCCTGACTCTTAACTTCTCAATCCTGGGTTTCCTCCCCAGGCCCAGCAGAACCAGCCCAGTGAGTGCCGAGGCTCCCAGTTCGGCTGCTGCTATGACAACATGGCCTCTGCAGCCGGTCCTCTGGGGGAGGGCTGTGTGGGCAAGCCCAGCTACCGTGAGTGGACACCCTAATCATCCTTCCTGGGCCACTATGCCCCCAGCTCCCAGGCAGAGCCAGTGACCCTCCTCCTGCTCAGTTGTTCATTAATTTCTTCCACAAATATGTACTGAGCACCTAGAAGGTGCCAGGCAGAATCACTGCCTGGCTGTTCATGATCTGACAGCTTGCCATTGGGGCCTTTAGGCTGCTTATTGGCACCAGGAGGCCATCCTGCCCCTGGGAACTCACCCTCCTACAGTAACAGAGCCAGCACAGGGCAGCCAGTGCCAGGAAAGGGAGAGTGTGCTGACCTGGCTGGGATTCAGTTAGCAGTGGGGGCCCCAAGTGTCCTGGAGTGAAGTGTGGGGGCTAGGGAGGTCACAGACTGGAGGGCAGGGTGGAGCTTCCAGAGCGTGGTGAGGGTGTCAGAAGTCCACTGGGGCTGGTCACCAGGGTTCTGCAGAAAACAGGTGCTTCCGCCAGCCGTGGCATCATCTGGGCGTGGAGAGTATATGCTGGTGGTGCTGGGGGCAGCAAGGTGCTGGGACGGCCAAGCTGGGTTCGGAGGCTGGTGCAGGGAGTCTGGGGACAAGGGCAGTGCATTGCGGGGTGTCTTTATAGGCCCTTGCCCTCAGCAGCTGGGTCCTTATCCTCAGTCAGTGAGCACTTCAGGATCAAGCCCAGGCTCCCTGTATGCACCCCAGGGGTTCTGTGTTAGGTTGTGGGAGGGCATGAGGGGCAGTTCCAGGGGCTCAGGGACCCGACCATCTGGAGACCTCCAGTTCTTTGGGTGGAGGTGGATGGGTATGATTCCTGGCTGCTGTGGCCTCCACCTGGGCAGGTCTGGGCAGCGGACCTCTCTGCCTGCCATGTTACCAGCTCTGAACTGAGAAGGCTGGGGGCTGAGGGCTGGTGAGAGCTGCTAAGAGGGCCCTGATGGGTAGTGTTTGTAGCTTTGTTACTTGGCACCCCTGTGATGTGCGTCTCTTCCACCCACAGCCTACCCAGTGCGGTGCCTGCTGCCCAGTGCCCACGGCTCCTGTGCCGACTGGGCTGCCCGTTGGTACTTCATCGCCTCTGTTGGCCAGTGTAATCGCTTCTGGTATGGTGGTTGCCACGGGAACGCCAATAACTTCGTTTCTGAGGAGGAGTGCATGAGCAGCTGCCAGGGGCCCCAGCCTGGAGGATCCGCCCAGAGCACCCACAGGGATAGAGGCCCTGGAGGCCAGCAGGAGACCAGCTCGCACAGGATGGAGGCCACAGGCCAGAGGGAGCCCTTGCTTTCTGGCAGCCTCTGGCGGCAAGGCCAGGAGCCTGGGCTGGTGGAGGCCTCCCACACCCACACCTTTGGAGAAAGGCCCTGGAGCCAGGAGCATAGGCCCAGTGCCCCCGGACTGGGCAGAGATGCCGGGCAGCCAGCACCACCCTTCCAAAGCTCCTCATACAGGTGGGGGCAAGGTGCCCAGGCTGGGGGCTGGGCTAAAAGCCTGAGGGCGGCAGGCTGTCCCTCCCTGACCTCCAACCCTCCAAGCCGCCTTGCTGCAGCTTCCAAGACACAGATCCCAGGTCACATGGTACAGCCTGGATTCTCAACTAGGTCTTGCCAGTGGACCCTGGGGCCTTTCTGGCTTGTGGGTTTCTTGGCTTCTGGCAAGCCAGCCAACCTCTCGAAGCTTCAGTTTCCTTACTTAATATGGTGATAGTATTTCCTGCCCTGTATAGCTGTTATGTTTGGTGGGGGACACCCCATCTCTGGGCTTCTTGCCTACCCTGTTGCTGAAGGGCCAGGTTAAGGCAGCCATGCCTGTAGGATGGTGGGGGGTTGGGAGGCAGATTCCTGAGTCCATGGGGTTCTGGAATTGCCCCCCACCGGGGCCCTCTGACTCCCACAAATGCCTGTAACATGATGGGCACTGAGCCAGCTGTGGTGGACACAGCTGCAGGACTAATCCCTGGTTCAGGCACATGTCTCCTCCCTTTCCAGGATCAGCTTGGCCAGCTCCAGGCCTGCTCTGGTCCAGGCTGCCCTGGGGCACTTGGTGCAGCTCTTCTGTCCAGGTGATGCCCCTCTGGACCCCCATGATGGGTGGCAGAAGGATGGCTGGCCTGTCTCCTCTGACAGGTGTGTGACAGTCCTTCCTTGGCCACAGCCCCTTGGCTCTCCCTGGGACAGGAGTGGGGGAGGGGTCCCGGAGCCTTTGAGGGGCTATAATTTTCCCCTGGTGGGAACATGGAGCTGAGGGAGGACCGGGACTTACTGTTGTCTCTAGGAGCCCAGAGCTCAGCAGCCCCCCACCCAATTCAGGCACAAGCTGCAGGCTGACGGCTCCCTGGTCATCAGCCCCCTGCGGGCAGAAGACGCTGGCACCTACAGCTGTGGCACCAGGCCAGGCACTGACTCCCAGATGATCCAGCTTCATATTACAGGTGTCTACCCCACCCTTGGGTTCTCACAGGACTGGGTAGGAGGGCCAGGCTGCTCTCTGATTGAGAACTGGTGCTTTGGGCTCTGGCATCCTGGTGGCAAATGGCATGTTCTCCAGAGGGCTAGAGTGAATACCTGGTCCCTGTCACGCTTATTCTTCTGTGTGTCCTCTGCTGGCTTCGTGGCCTGCCCTTCTCTACATTCTCCTCACAGCTTACTCCTTGCTTCTCCCTGCCTCCTGACAGGGGGTGACGTAGCTGTCCTATCTGAAGCTGAGCCAAGGCGCTTCCCTCAGCCCAAGGACCCTGCCCAGGGTCTAGGGAGGTATTCTGGGGGCCTAGGGGCTGTCTCTTCCTCGCACCCACAGCCCAGATCCAGGTAACAGCCCAGCACTGCCACCCTGCTCTCAGCCTCCCCCGCCCTGGGTCAGTGAGGTCTCAGTGGGTGAGAGGAGGGGAAGGTGGATCAGTCAGCCACTGGACTCATGGGAAAGGTGTGGGCCTGGGACCCAGGAATTGAGGGAAAGGAAGTACTCTGGGGGCCAGAGCCAATACGCCTTTCTTGGAGGAGGAGCAGGGCTGGAGCTGGCCCTGAAGAACAGTTTGGTTTGTTAGGGGGATTGGGAGGCTGGGGGTGGGGGTGACCACTGAGGGCCTGGAGGCCAATGTGCAGGGCAGGGAGAGCAGTTGGTGTCAGTTGGAAATGTCAGATGCTACTTTTCTGGACAGCCAGCTGGTAGGAGATAGGAGATGGCTTTTAGACTTTACGCCAGGTTAGTTAACCAGAACACAGTGGTGGTTTTAGGAATATAACTGGCTGGGAAAGAGGCCATAAGCATTGTACAGTCTAGTCAGCAGGCCTGGTTGGGTGTGAGAGAGGCTTTTCATGGCTGTGGGTGCTTGTTTTGTAGGCTTCGTCTAGACCGCAACCAGCCTGGTGTGGTGGATGCCAGTCCAGGCCAGCGGGCCCGGTTGACCTGCCATGCAGAAGGCTTCCCGCCCCCAACCATTGAGTGGCAGAAAGACGGGCAGACCCTCTCTTCTCCCAGGTTTGTTTGGCTCCTCTCCCCTACCTTCTGTTTTGCCTCCAGCCCCACCCCACAGGGTAGGGGGCCTTTGCCCTGGTCAGCCCTGAGCAGTGGTGCTTGGGGGTTGGAGCTGCTGGGCAGAGGGCCTCTGGGCCTTCCCAGGGTGTGGTTAGTGGATGGCAGTCACAGGCCAGCTGAGGGAGGAAATGGAATCAGAGCCCATATCTGGCTGTGGGCACAATGGCTGTGGGAGGCATGTTCTCTGTCATATAACCTGCAAGACACCTATACAGAGAGAGGTAGGTATGATTTTAACCCCATCTGACACCAGGAAACAGGCTTGACACCTCACAACTCAGAAGTAGAATGAGGATCTGTACCTACAATATAAGTATAGCAAAAACTAGAAACCCAAACCACTTCAAGTGTTCTGATAAAAAAAAAAAAAAATTCTGGTTTGTCTATTGCCGGGCTTAAAAGCCAGGCATTTCAAGTAATTAAAAGAGGATATAATGGCCTAAGGCAGACAGATCCTTTGGCCAGACCCTACTGAAGAGGAGAGCTGTTCAGCTTCACCAGGAAAAGGAAGAGCCTGCCCTTTCCTCACCTCCCCCCTCCCTGCCCCTACCCAGTGCCTGGCCCCTTGGGCTGGAGCCAGCTGACTGTGCTTGTCCCCAGGCATCAGCTGCAGCCCGATGGCTCCCTGGTCATTGACCATGTGGCTGTGGAAGATGGCGGCTTCTACCTCTGTGTTGGCTTCAACGGGCAGGACCGAGACCAGCAGTGGGTCCAGCTCAGAGTTCTGGGTAAGGTGACAGTCCTGAGCAGAGGAGGGCAAGTAGGGTCGGTGGTCTTGGAGGTCAGGTGGAATGGGCTGGGGTAGGCTTGGCACAGTGGCTGACATTGCTCCTTCCCTGTGCCCAGGGGAGCTGACAATCACAGGGTTGCCCTCTACTGTGACAGTGTCGGAGGGGGACACAGCCAGGCTGCTGTGTGTGGTGGCAGGAGAAAGCGTGAACATCAGGTGGTCCAGGTGAGGCTCTCTTCCAGGCAGGTCTTGGCCCTCGGGCCCTCCTACCTGAGGCTGTGCAGCTAGAGGTGGCTACCTTTCTGCCAGGGATGCGTCTGTCACCACTGCTACCTCCTCCATTCTTCCACTCCTGCCCCCAGGTCTGGTGCCAGGGCGGGGGCTGCAGCACCCACCTCCTAAACAAGGCCCTTGAGGACCTCTCTCTCCCCCACTGGTTGGACTGCACCAGGGTTTCTCAGCCTCACCGTTTTGGACCTGCTTGTTTTTGGCTGTGGGAGGCTATCCCAGCTTTGTTTATCCTGGCTTCTACTCACTAGATGCCAGTAGCACACTCCTCATAAGTTGTGACAATAAAAAGTGTCTCCAGACTTAGCTGTGTATCTCCTAGGGGGTAAAATCTCCCTGGAGTTGAGAACCACAGGGCTACACTCAGTCTTAGGGACTTCAGTGGTCTTTACCCAAAATCAAATGGTCTTTAATTTGTTCTTTCATTCAGGAAACAGTTTTCCTTCCCTCCCTCCCTGCATTGTGTCAGGCACGAGCTAGGCTCTGGGGATCCTGGGATAACCTGAGTCCCAGGGTACTCCCAGGAGATCCTTGGGTATTCTACACCCCTAAGCTCCCTGCAGAGGATGGTGGGGTCATCTGAGCCCCAGGGTCCCCCAGGCAGGATTTAGCAAGGTATACTCTAAGTGTTGTCTGCATAGTGCTGCCACCAGTTTGGGGGTGTCAAGGAAGGGCTAGCCAGGGAGGTGACTTTGGCTGGGCCTTGAAGGCTGTTCCTGGCAGAGGTAGCAGTGAGAGCCAAGGCGGGTGTTTGAGACATCATGACAGGGTGGGAAGGGCCTGCACGCTGGAGCGGCAAGGTGGTGAGGCTGCAGAGTTCAACTGCCTCTTGTGGCCTTAACAGGCTTCAGCTGAGAGTAGCTGGGAGCCTCGAGGTTCCCACTGGTGCTCTTGGGATTGGGCTCCAACTTCAACTTTGCCTCTCCTGGATCTTCCCAGCAGCAGCCATGCTCAGGCCTCCCTTCCCCGTGTCCTTCTGCCCTCTACGGTACAACTGTCTCTACTGATTGTCTCCACTTGTGTACCCCTTACTCGCTTCTCAGACCACCGCCAATCCAGGGGTACTGCGTCGGTCAGGGCCACCAACAGCCTCCCCGTTCCTAAGTCCACTGGGCACACCTCACTCCTTACATGAGCCTTGAGTCTCAGTGCCCTCCCGCTGACCACTTGTTCCTTGAAACATTCCCTCCCTGGGCTCCAGACGGCACCGGCTGCTGCTGCTTAGCCAGTCCATCTTCTTACCTGTCCCTTAGATGTTGGTGCATCTCAGGGTTCTGGCCAAGGTCCTGCTGCCTTGTCCTGTAACTGTCCCTTGGGCAATCCTGTAGGTGGGCAGTTTCTGGGACCACTCAGGGCTGACACACTATCTGGGCCCAGGTTTTTCTCTTGAGCTCAAATCCAGTGCCTCCTGGTATCTCACAGGCACGTTAAATTCAGAATGGTAGATGGTAACCTACCCCTTCCCAGTCCCTCCCCTGGATTTCCTCGTGTTAGAGGGGCATCACAATTACCTGGTAACCCAAGGTAGAAACCTGTTGTCCTTGATTTCCTTCTCCTCTAACCTGACCTCTACCCAGGGCCCTCTGTCTCACTGCCCGTCATCTGCCCCGGGGCCCTTCCACAGCAGCCGCTGACTTGCCTCTGCTTTCACGCTCGTCTCCCCAGCCCACACGGCAGGGAGCCTGGCAGAGTACGAACCTCATCATGTCACTTCCCACTTAGCTGAAATCCCCACGGCCCTCAAGATCCAATCCAAATTCCTGACAGAGTCCGAGACTGCGGACTGGCTCCTCCTCTCCAGCTTCCCTGTGTCCACTTCTTCTCGTGCTCGTTCCTTGCTTCAGCCACGGCCTGCCTTCAAGCTCCCGAGTCCCTTGTCTCTCTCCATCAGCTGGCCGCTGCCTCCTCATCCTCAGGTCCTCCTCCCAGAAGGCTCCCCTGAGCACCTACCCCATCGAGTGCCCCAAAGGCAGGGAGTGCTTCCATTTGTCTAGCACAGGGCTTGGTACCTAACAGTTTAAAAGACTTTAATTACTGAAAAGGTAGAAGGGGATTGCTTTGTGGATAAGAAGCAAATGTATAAACTTGGATCAGTGGGCTTGGTTGTTGAATTAACTTCACTTGGGTATTATTTTGTTAATGTTCTCATCTATTTTTGGTAGCCTGTCCATGTCTTCCTTGAGGCAAGGGTCATCTCGTTTGCCTTCAAAGGGGGCAGTCTTTGATCACCAACTCCATCTTCTGGCCCTGGAAGCAGCAGCATGGCCTCCCAGGGCCTGAAGACCTGACTGGCTGCCCCAGTGTCCCTCTCCTCACAGGAATGGGCTGCCTGTGCGGGCCGATGGCCACCATGTCCACCAGTCTCCAGACGGCACACTGCTGATCTACAACTCGCGAGCCAGGGATGAGGGCTCCTACACATGCAGTGCCTACCGTGGGAGCCAGGCAGTCAGCCGCAGCACTGAGGTGAAGGTGGTCCCGTCAGGTAACCCACTGCAGGTGGCAGCGCTGGGCATTCCCAGGCGATCTGCTTATTCTCGAGGGCTGGCTGTATGCTCTGGACGAGGGCAGGCTCTGCACTCAGAGGGACTCTAGCTCTAGTCCTGACTCATTCTGCCAGTTACTAGTAGTGTCACTTGGGGCAAGGGGCTGAACTTTCCTGAGTTTCATCTGTAGAACGGGGCGGCTCTTCCGTGCTCCTGGTGGGCAGCTGGTGCTCAGTTGTTAGTTGCTTCTTAGTTATCATCGAGTCTGGTCTGACTCATGGTGATCTTATGTATAACAGAATGAATGGCTTGTTAAAGTGCCATCTTCCAACTGTTGGTATGCTCCAGTCCATTGTTCTGGCTACCGTGTAGTGCATTCCACCCAAGGGTCTCATCCTCTAGCACTGTGCCAGACAGTATGCTACTGTGTGGTTCATAGGGGTTTTACTGGCTAGTTTTCAGCAGATGACGAGGCTTTTCTTCCTGGTCTTAGTCTGGTTTGTCTGTGCTAGCAGAGCTCCTTCTGTACCTGTAAGAATAAAATGCTGCCAATCAACTGACATAATTCTAAGATACTGTCAATTAAGATATACTCCAATTTAATTGATGCTAAAATAGGAAAATAGATGCATCTCAGAACTGATGATCTATAGACTATGATTTAATGCTCAAATTCACCAGAGTTCTATGTTCAAATAAGTCAGAGGGATGGGGGACAGGTGTTGCTTTACCCTGTTTGCTTTCCCAGGTACCCACAGTCCTGATTACTGTCTGACTAGCAGGGCGGTGCTCTGAGCCAAGCAGTTGGTTCTTACTGAGCCTGATGCAGACCTCGAAGTATGGCAGGGCCCTCCTGGTGCTGCTCTGCCTGAATGTTCATGGCGATCAGGCCACAGCACTGCACAGCGAGCACTCTTATACTCAGTGTTAGGCCAAGTATTGTCTTTCAGGTGGAGTATTGGGATTGCCCTGTGCTAGAGGCTGAAGATCTGTAGTTAAAATGTTGCATAGTGAGGCTGGCTGGCACTTACGCTTCATTTATGAGCTCCATGGGGCAGTGACTGGGACTGGTGTCCCCAGGGCCCAGCCCAGTGCTTGACACTCAGCAGGTGCTCAGGTGCTTGGTGACTGAGCGCATGAATTGAATGAGTGATGGTGTTACTTTGGAGACAGCATCATCCTACAGGGCTGCTTGCCCCCTCTAACATGTCCAGAAACTTGATCTTGTCTACATAGGAACCAAACTTTTAAGACTTGTGACTAAACCAGAGTGCAGATTTACTGTGAGAAAGATGTTAAGCCAGTACTCGTGTATGTGATTAGCTATATACATGTCTAAGAAGCCCTGGTGGTATAGTGGTTAAGTGCCCGACTGCTAACCGAAAGGTTGTCGGTTCAAACTGTACAGCCACTTTGCTGGAGAAAGTTGTGGTGGTCTGCTTCCATAGATTTACAGCCTTAGAAACTCTATGGGGCAGCTCTCCTCTGTCCTGTAGGGTCACTATGAGTCAGAATTGACTCAAAGGCAATGGGTTTGTTTTTGTTTTACATACATGTCTACATGGCAAACCAAATTATAGTTAGAAACTTGCTTGATGACAGAGTCCATTGGGGCTCCTCGTGATTGTGGGCTCCAAGCTACAATGATCTGAGGGACAGGACACTCATGTCCTCAGTTTGTCTACCTTTCTCCAGCCCTCTGTTGGACCAGTATTGCCAACCTTAGATATTCGGGGGGGCACCTGTGTTTTTTTTTAAATTTTGTGATTTGGGTGAGAGTTTACAGAGCAAATTAACTCTCCATACAGCAGTTCATATGTTCATATACATTTTGTTTCATGACATCAACTGAAATTCCCTACCGTGTAACATCTCTCTTCCTACTTCCTCCCCATTGTTTCTTCCTTGTGTCCTTCTTTCCTATGCATTCCTGCCCTCTGAGCTATCTCTCTGTGCAAATACTGCCCTTCTTTTCTCCCATGATTGATCTAAGGAATGTATCTACTTGATGTAAATGTTCAGCCTATATATGCCTGTCTGTTGTTTGGCTGGAAGCCACAAAAGTGTGTTCAATTCTAGAAGTGAAGGGTAACTAGGAGCCATAGTCTTGGGGTCTCACCAGGCTCTATCAGACCAGTAAACCTGGTCTTTTTTTTTTTTTTTTTTTTAATTGTGATTTGGGTGAAATTCACTTTCCATACAGCAGTTCACATACACTTTGTCTCATGACATTGGCCACAGTTTACCACAATGCAACAGTTCCCCTCCCACTTCCTCCCCATAGTTACTTCTTCCCAGTGTCCATCCCTCCATGTACTCCTGCCTCCTAAGCTGTCTCCCTGTGCATAAGCAGCCCTTCTTTCTCTCATGATTGTTCTCTCCAAGGAGTGTATCTACCTGAGATAAATGTTCAACTCATATGCCTGTCTTTTGTTTGGCTGGAAACCACAGGTGTGGGTTCAATTCCAGTAAACCTGGTCATTTTTATGATTTTGAGTTTTGTTCTCCCACTTTATTCAGGATCTCCTGTACTGATTCCTTTCTGAGTGGTTGACATTTGTAGCTGGGCACTGTCTAGATTTTCTGGACTCATGGTCATATAGGCTGAGGTTTGCATGGTCAACTAGTCCCTTGGACTGTTTCCATGCATCTTTAGTTTTCTTCATTCTTCTTTGCTCTGGACTAGGAGAGACCCCTTTTTGCATCCAAATGGCCGCTTGCAAGCTTTTAAGATCCCAGTCATCACTCACCAAAGTAGGATGTAGAACAGTGTTTTTGTATGTTATGCCAGTTGACCTTGATGTCCCCCACGACCATGGTTCCGAGCCCACAGGTCCAACAATTCGCTCCATCAGGGTGGTTGACTGTGCCTAAGAAGTTATCATAATTTTGGGGGGGGGGGTACCTTTCTTGAGCTACATTCTGTCCTTCTATCTCTAAATGTATTAATGCCCTCAGGCTGCAGATATCTCCTCTCACCCATTATTTTTATTATTTAGGGTCACAAAGCTTGAGCTGCCTCACTTGGCCCTATTCATGGTTTGGTGGCATATTGGGAGTTCAGTGTTAGCATTAGGGTGGGCGGCCTTGGACTAGTGACACTCTTATAAGGGACTTTGTTTTACTGTGAAAACTGTTCAACCTTCTTGCCTAAAAGATGGGGGTGAGGAATAGAAAATACTGTAGGAATAAAACACAGAAGGTCACTCACTATGGCCCAGTCCCATTTTTTAAATAGCAGGGAACTATGCTATGTGGGCAAAAGAGTACATAGTTAAGCACTCAAATTTTAGCCATGGTTACTACTGTGGGCCCAGGTCATGTTTTAAGTGCTTGACATTTTTAACTCATTTACTTCTTGCATGATCCCTATGATGCAGGTGCTAATTTTATAGATGAAAAAACAGAGGCACAGAAAGCTTAAGTAACTTACCCAAAGTCACCCAGCTGGTAACTGGTAGAGCCAGGATTGGGCCCAGATAGTCTGGCTCTTGAGCTGGTGCACTTAATGACTACACTGATCACCTAACTGCTTGACCCTATGACAGGTCAGTCCTTGCAATAGCAGAGATAAAGTCGGTAAGAGTTACTGATGTTTTTAAGCTATAAATTACTTGCCATGTATGTAAATATAAGTAGTACTAATTAGTACTGTTAGTCCTCTTGTTATACTGATCTACCAAACCTTTCTAAGGTCATTCGTTGATTAGGTATAGTCTTTCGGTCACATTTTAGGAGGGAACAAGGGGAGAGGGGTGAAGATAAAGCTTTCTTAACCCTAGGAGGTCTGATTTCAGGGATGGTACAGCTGGTCTAAGCTAAGCTGAGTCCTAAGAGCCCCTTCCAGAAAGAAAAAGAGAATGACTAGATAAAGCTGCTTCACTCCTAAGAGGAAGCAGCAGTCAGCTCTGACAGGGATTTGTACGAATGCTCTTAGAAGCTGCAAGGTGAATTTGGGGGGGTGGGTCGGGGGTGTGCGCTCAGGGCAGTGTGCACAGTATATTATTACAGCTGTAGTTAATGAGACCGTTTTCCTTGCTGAATACTTACTGCCTTCTCAGGGGGAAGTAGAAAAATTTGCAAGATGGGAAACCAAGTGACCAAGTCAACTGGGCATATTGACGGTGTGAAAGTTGTGGGGTTGGAGGAAACCAGCAGGGAGAACACAGGCTAGCTCTTGCCAACACAAACTTTCACTTGGTAGTTTCATCCCTCTCTCATCCTGCTAATTCAGAGGCCAAGGCAGCATTTTCAGGCCTCAATAGTAAGGGTAGGGACTTAACTTCAAGAGATGTCTAATTGTCCAGTTAACAAAAACTGGGGGAGGAGGGTCTGTTGTGGGCTGTGCACTGGGCTGAGGATGCAAATAAGAATAATGGGGAAAGGGAGCGCTGCATGCTAACGTGAGTGAGGTCAGCACGCTGGTGGAAATTGTACTCCCCGGTAGCTGTATACAGACTGGTGTTAAAAGGTTACAGACCAATGCACCTTTTTGAACCTAGCAGTTATGGTGCTACTTTCCTTTTAAAGAAGTGCAACAGTAGGTGAGAAAATTCTCCCCCACCCACTGAGTTTCCTCATGCTTTCTCTCCCGCCTGTTGTTTTGCAGCACCAACAGTCCAGCCAAGGGACCCCGGCAGGGAGTGCATTGACCAGCCTGAGCTGGCCAACTGTGACTTGATCCTGCAGGCCCAGCTCTGTGGCAATGAGTATTACTCCAGCTTCTGCTGTGCCAGCTGTTCCCGTATCCAGCCTTATGCTCAGCCCATCTGGCAGTAGGAATGATGGCTACTCAGCTCAAAACAATTCACAGAGAAGACACACTCTCAGCCGCTTCTCTGTGGCTGACAAAGGATGAACTTCTGGACGTACTGCCCTTTCAAAAACCCACCAGGTGTTCCTCTTCGGCAGGTAACAGCTGTCCCCCGTGGTCTCCCGCAGCGTTTGCATCTCTCATACCCACAGGCTGCTGCTGAGTTGTCAAGAGGAGGAATCTATTTGGATAAGGACACCTTTATTTTACAACTTCCCTCTACAAGTTCTGTCACACAGGATCAATCCACTGTATTGTAAAGCAGGCTGTTAGGGGTCTCACTTGAGCTGGGTGTATGTACTGGAGGTACGTACCGGTTTCATAGTTGTTAGTCGCCATCAAGTTGGCTGGTGCTGCCTATCCCCTGTGCAATGTGGGGGATGCCATGTGTAACAGAAGGAAATGTTGCCTTGTCCTGTGCCGTCTTCATGATCAGTGGTATGTTTGGTGGCTGTTGTCAATCCATCTCATTGAGTGTTCCACATTTTCTAGTGTTTGGTCTTTCTGATGATGTGCCCAAAGTACGCAAGATGAAGAAGTCTCACCATCCTCACTTCTAAGGAGCATTCTGTTGTACTACTTTTAAGAGTCATTTGTTCATTCTTCTGGCATTCCGTGGTATATTCAATATTCTTCACCAACACCACAATTTGAATGCAAATGCATCAAGAATTGTTTTTCATTGTCCAGCTTTCCCATACATATAAGATGACTGAAAAGACCGTAGTTTGGGTCAGGTACACGTTAAGCATAAAAGTTTTCTCTTTGCTTTTCAAAAATTCAAAGAGGTCCTTTGTAACAGACTGCCAGATGTAGTTAAGTCATTTGATTTCTTGACTGCAGCTTCCATGGACATGGACATTGTTGATCCAAGTAGAATGAAATCTTCAACAATTTCAGTTTTTTTTTTTTTTCCATTTATCAAGATGATGTTTATCAGTCCAGTTGTGAGGATTTTTTGTTTGCATCAAGTTCATTTGTAATTCATAATGCAGACTATAGTCTTTGACCTTCACCAGTAAGTGCTTCATGTTGTCTTCATTTTGGGCAAGCAAGGTTGTGCGTTCTGCCTATTGCAGGCGGTTGATGAATCATCCTCCAGTCCTGATGCCATGTTCTTCATATATCCTAGCTTCACAGGCTACTTGTTCAGTGTACAGATTGAACAAGTAAGTTGAAAGGATACTACCTGCCACACACTTACTTTAACTCCTATGCTCTGTTTGAATGACTGCTTCTTGATCCATGCACTGGTTTTGCGTGAGCATACTTTAAGTATTCTGCAGTTTCTATTTGTAATATTGTCCATATTTTGTTATCAACACAATTAAACATCTTTCTGGTATTCTCTTTTAGCCAGATCCGTCTCACATCAGCAAAAATATCCCTCATTCCATGTCCTCTTCTGAATCCAGTGTGAACTTCTAGCAGGTCCCTGTAGCTGTACGGCTGCAGTAATTTTTAAAATTATCTTCAGCAAAATTTTGCTAGCATGTGATATTAATGGTATTGTTCAATAATTTCAGAAGTCTGTTTGACTGCCTGCCTTTCTGTGGGATGGACATGAATATGAATCTCTTCCAGTCAGTCGGCCAGGTTGCTGTCTTCCAGATTTCTTGGTATACACAAGTGCACACTGGAAGTTGCATCCATTTGTTGAAACATCTCATTTGTATTCTGTCAATTCTTGGAGCCTTGTTTTTGTCCATGCCTTCAGTGAAGCTTCAATTTCTTCCTTCAGTACCAGTGATCATATGTTACCTCCTGAAATGCTTAAACACTGACCAATTCTTTTTGGTACAGTGACTCTATGTATACATTCCATTTTTTGATAATTCCTGTGTCATTCAATTTTTTTTGCCCGTAGAATACTTCAGTAATGCAACTTGAGGTACACTTGTTCTCTTTAGTTCTTTCAGCTTGGGAAAAGCCAGCTGTGTTCTTTCCTTTTGGTTTTCTAACTCCAGGCTTTGCACATGCCATCATACTTTAACCTTGTCTTTTCGAGCTGACCTTTGAAATCTGTTCAGCTCTTAAATATTTCTTTCATTTGCTTCAGCTACTTTGTGCTTAAGAACAAGCTTCAGAATCTCTTCTAATACTCATTTTGGTCTTTTTCTTCTTTCTTGTCTTCTTAATGACTTTTCTTCATGAATGATGCCTTCCTGTAACTATTCTGGTCTTTAGTCATTAGTGTTCAGTGTGTCAGATCCGTATTTTAAAAAACTTTGTTTTAGGTGAAAGTTTATACATAAAATTAGCTCCCACTCAACAATACATACACGATTTGTTCCACTGCATTGGTTGCTATCCCTGCAGGGTGTCAGCACTTTCCTGCTTTTGCATCCTGCCTTCCCTATTTCTGTTCCTCCAGTTTTTCTGCCTCTCCTTGTTTTTTGGGAAGATGTTGCCTGTTTGGTCTCAAATAGTTGATTGTTCTAAGAAGCACATTCTTGACAGCTGTTATTGTTTACTTTGTAATCTAATCTATTATTTGGTTGAAAGAGGACCTCCAGGAGTGGCTTCAATTCCAGATTAAAAAGGTATCTTAGAGTGATAGTCATGGGAGTTCCTTCAGTCTCTATCAGTCCAGTAAGTCTGGTCTTTTTTTGTTCTACATTTTCTTCTCATTCTAACTGGGACACATTGTGTCCCTGGTCAAAGTGGTCAGTAGTGGTAGCTGGGCACCATGTAGTTCTTAGAATCTCAGGCTAGAGGAGGGTATGGTTTTTGTGGGCCATTAGTTCTGTGGACTATTTCCTTGAATCTTTGGATTCTTTCACTCTCCTTTGCTCCAGATGGGAAGAGACCAACAGTTAAATGGGTGCTCACAAGCTTTTTTCTTTTCTTACTGTGATTTGGGTGAAGTTTACAGAGCAAAGTTGTATTCAACAGTTCATACACATTTTGCTTCATGGCATTGATCACAATCATCACGATGGAACAGCTCTCTTCCCACTTCCTCCCTATGGTTACTTTTTCCCCGTGTCCTTTTTTCCTGTGCATTCCTGCCCTCTGTGCTTTCTCCCTGTGCAAATGCTGCCATTCTGATCTCTCATGGTTGATTGTTCTAAGCAGCGTACCTCCTTAGTATAACTGTTCACCTTGTAGGTCTGTCTGTTGTTTGGCTGGAAGTTAAGCCACATGAGTGAGTTCAATTCCAGGCCTAAAAGGTGACTAGGGGTTGTAATCTCAGGGTTTTCACCAGTCTCTAACCAACAAGTAACCCTGGTCTTTTTTTGTTTTTCATAAGTTTGTTCCACATTTTTTCCCCATTCTATCCAGGATCTCCAATTTTGATCCTTTTCTGAGTGGCTGGCAATGGTAGCTTGGCACATCTCATTCTTCTGGTCTCAGGATGGAAGGCTGAGGTTCCAATGATCCACTAGTCTCTCGGACTAATTGTTTCCATGAATCTTTGATTTTCTCCACTCTTCTCCAGATGACGAGAGACCAACTGTTGCTTCTTAAATGGCCACTTTCAAGCTTTTAAGACCCTCAACTGCTATTCATCTGAATAGGATACAGAACAGTGTTTTTGTGTAGTGTGTTATGCCATTTGAGCTTGATGTCCCCCATGCTTACAAGCTTTGAAGACTGCAGACAATACTCAATAATCTAGGATGTAGAACATTATGAATAATGGCAACTGAACTAGATGTCCCCCAAGACTATGGTTCTTAGCTTTCAAGGTCAGTAACTCCGTCCCATGAGATGTTTGGATGTATCTAAGAAGTTTCCGTAACTCTGGCCCCCAATGTGTGTGCATGTATATGTGTGTGTGTATATATATGGCACATACAAATATGTATATACAAAAATGCTCACATTTGTATATACCTGTATTTTTTTAATGTACTCCCATATGCCTTTCCATTCCTATGTAGTATATATATATATCTATTTAACCACTCATAAGTTTTTTTTTTTTTTAATTGTGATTTGGGTGAAGATTTACAGAGCAAATTCACTTTCCATACAGCAGTTCACATATACTTTGTCTCATGTCATTGACCACAGTTTACCGCAATGCAACAGCTCCCCTCCCACTTCCTCCCCATAGTTCTCTTCCCAGTGTCCATTCCTCCATGCACTCCTGCCCCCTGAGCTGTCTCCCTGTGCATAAGCAGCCCTTCTTTCTCCCATGATTGTTCTCTCCAAGGAGTGTATCAAGTACACTTGAGGTAAATGTTCAACTCATATGCCTGTATTTTGTTTGGCTGGAAACCACAGGTGTGGGTTCAATTCCAGACCTGAAGGGCAGCTAGGGGCCATAGTCTCAGTGGTTCCACCAGGATCTATTGGACAAGCAAACCTGGTCCCCACCATTTTTTTTTCTCCAAGTGATTTTGAGTTTTGTTCCACATTGTTCTCCCTCTCTATCCAGGATCCCCTAGATAGATTCTCTTCCAACTGGATGACAGTGGTAGCTGAGCACCATCTAGTTCTGGTCTCATAGTTGTATAGGTTGCAGATGAATGGTGTACCAGTTGCTAGGACTAATTATTTCCGTGAATTTTGGTTTTCTTCATTCTTCTTGATTCTGGACGAGGAGAGACCCATCGTTGCATCTAGATGGCAGCTTGCTAGCTTTTAAGATCCCAGTTGCTACTTGCCAAAGTAGGAGGTGGAACAGTGTTTTGTATAATATGTTATGCCAATTGAGCTTGATGTCCCCTGCGACTATGGTCTCAAGCCCATAGGTTCAACTACTTGGTCCCTCTGGGTAGCTGGCTGTGACCAAGCAATGACCACAACCTTGCCCCTTGTCAGCTCTACTATACACCTGGGAATTCTGATCATTCACATAAATGTATAGGACGATTGTCTGCCAACCCTATACATGGTCTTGGATATACTCCCCATTTCATAGACATACCTAATCGTTTAGCCTGTCCACCCATCTGTCCATCCATATACCCATGTTTGCCTTCACTGACAACGCAGTACTGTATGTGCAAAAGGG